GAGGAAAACAGGCTGTCAAAGGAGAAAGAAGCAAAATTATCCTAGTGCACAAAACCAGCTCTCCTAAGAGGGGTGCTATCAATGCAAAGATAATGTCTATAGCTACAGGAATTTCTTCCTTATTTATGCTCCTGTAATATTTGCTTATAGCTCAATTATTTATCACAAGCATGTAATAAAGTTGGTATGTACATATCTGTCTCCTCCACTGGACTCTAAGAACCCACACCCACAGAATTTTGTACTTGGGTGCAATTGAATAAGGGGCACTTTCAATATGTATACCAACCCATAAATTAGATAATAATGTTAATTTACACAGGTGTACATGTTTTGGATTAACTTTTCAAAAGATCTTAACTGGGTAAGTGACCTCTCCTTGAAATGGTATTAATTTTTCTGTCTTGCATATATTATCTGCTGAAACAAACTAGAAAAAAAACAGAAGTTTTAAAAATTTACTAAGAGAAAAATGTGCCTCTGTGGATTAGCCTAGCCAGGGTGGAAAACTTTATGTAACACTGCATGTTAATCTGAATTAATAATCATGAATTATAATGTTACAGTTGCATTTGAGCCCCTAATTTGCATTATTCTGACCAAGTCAGAAAACTATATAATTCAATTATCTCAAGCAAAATTATGGTTTTGGTGTTTATAAGTTTGAGAAGTCTATTTTTACATCCAATGGAGCCAAGTGTTTGATATTAAACCTGTTCTAAAAATACCTATGTATAGTTATTGATTTAAAATACAATAAAATGTGATTAAAAGTCTATTAAAACACTGAACAGTTTTTAACTATAAAACTTGTCCTTAAGGCACATCTAATATACATAAATCAGATAATTAACATTACTTAGAAGAGTTACAATTAACATTGTCAAGCATTTGAATTTTAGGCACTGAAGTTAGAAACAAGGGGGGAAAAACATCATTTTGTGGGAAAATGACTGTGTAGGTCTTTTAATTAGACTGACCTTAATATATAATATTATTTATATTTTGATAGATAACTACAGGTTTCAACGCTGAATTAAGCTTAGAAACACAAATGTGGCACTGAAGAAAATGGACAGGGGAAATCATATCTTCCTCATCCTTTTCCTCTCAGTCTCCCCCACCTCGGTAAATAGTAACTCTTCAGCAGTTTAGGACAAAAACCATGCAGTGACAGCTGATGCTTCCCCTTCTCTCACTTCCAAGGCTTGAGTAAATTGTCAGGTTTGTCTTCAAAATACATCCAGAATGTACTGGATCTCACCAGTTTCCCTGCTATCACCCATCATTTCTAGCTTGGATTATTACAACAATATTTAATCCTAAAGTACTCATTCCTTCAATTGTTCATCCATCCACCCATCCAACAACTCTTAGTAATCAACCACTTAAATCAGACCCTGTTTTGGGTACTTAAGTACACAGAGAATTGCCTTTTTGGGCATTACAAAAGGAATACCACTTACCCCTCCTGAACCTTACCATGGTGCATTCTTTCAGGACATCACCACCAGGGCACTGAACAGTCAATATTGAGAAAACTAATGACTAGGTAAGGAACCATTTTCCAAGTTGGGATTCCAAGGATTTGCTTCTAAATCAAACTAAACTGGAAAACCTAATTGATATGTCATTAAGAATATTCTGATAGAGCACTGCCAGTAAATAATTTTTGGCATATAACTCAGAAGGAATAAAAAGAGTGACACTGCTATATTAATATTCTTTGTATTCCTCTCAACAAATCAACAAGATGTTTTTTGGCCTTTATATCTCTAAAAATGAAAAAGAGAAAAAGAATTGATGTTGAACTCTGTCAGATTCTAGCAATAAATAATACTCATCCATGGAAACTTAAGCTAAATGACAAAAAGCCCAATCCCATTAAGAAATACATTTCAATAAAATTACTTCTTATAATTATTCAAAATTGTAATATTTATATTTTGATCAGCTATATAGTATATAATAGTATATAATAGTATACAACTATACAGTAGTAATAGTTGTAATGATAAAAAAATTTTCTCAGAATTGACAACATTTAGAACATTATGATCACAAGACATGCAATAAATTTAAATATGCACTTTTTTTCCTGCAGGAAAGAACGATAACCAATAAAACTTTCATGCCTAAAACCATACTACAAAAGAGTGGAACTCTGTAGGTCAGGGTTTCTCAATAGCATAGCACTATTGACATTTTGGGCTGGTTAATTTGTTGTTGGGGGTTGCCTTGAGCAATACAGGACGTTTTGCAATACCCGGCCTCTTCCCACTGGATGCCAGTAGCCCCTACTCCCTAGTTATGATAGCAAAAATGTCTCCAGATACTCCCAAATGTCCCCTAGGAGGCAACAGTCCCTAACTGAAAACCACTGCTGTAGGGGATAGAATAGCAATACTATGTAAAACTTTGACTATCAAGGAGTTCACTTTTTTTAAATGGATGATGGGTATCAAAATACTATGATACTTAATTCCACTGCATACAGTTGGAAGAGTGACATTTATCATAAAATGACATTTTACTATGCACTGGAAATTACGTTATTTGCCATTATTTAAACTTATGAAGAAGAACTTTGGATGTTCCCTCATAATATATTAGCCAAAAGCATTCTGTAGTTTATAGGATAGGTGGGTAATGTACATTAACATCCACTTACTGACCTTTCTCCAAATCCTAATATGGTACTTCAGAACATTCTTAGTTTCTCTCATATAGTTCTAAGCCGTTTTTTTTCCTTGAGGAATGTATTAAGTTCTTGAAGACTATCTTTCTTGATAAAAGTCTAGAAAACTTAACTGAAAAGAATATCAGGGCTATTAAACAAATGTAAAATATTTAGATACAAAGCAAGTATTTTTCAAAATTCAACTTCTATAGACTAGTAACTGTTTTTATTTCCACTCTTCAAATGACGCCTACACAATTCCAAGGATTTGGAGGCTGAAAATAGTCTAAGAATTCCAAAGACCTTTTCCAAACATAGAAGCAGTACCTCCTTTATCCCATTACTAGTCACCTAAACAGTCTCTCACTATGGCCCACTTCTCTCAGCTTAATCAGTTTACTGGCAAGAGTGCTAATGGAATCATTCATTCTAACTATAAATATAAAAATGTATGTAGTGCTTTTATTGTTTTAAAGCAATTCCACATAAATTATCTAGTGTTAACGGAATATAACAGGACAGGTAGAAAAGATATTAGAGGTAACAAATTTGCAGTTTAGTAATAACTTGCCTAGTTTACAATTCAGCAGCAGCAGCAGAGCTGACATCTCCAGACCGATCACACCAAACTCTTTTCTTAGAAAATCCTCATTTGAGGTTTTGCTCATAACTTTACATTGTATGGAGTTTTGGGATGCTTGAAGAGAAGTTAAATCAAACTACTGCCTATGAGCGAGATCTTACGGTATTTGACTCTCTCCCTCTGACTTACTTCCCTTAGCATAATACCCTCAATGTCCATCCATGTTATCACAAACAGCTGCATGTCATCATTTCTTATGGCTGAGTAGAAGATAAAAACAACAACACACACATATAGAGACAGAGATTGGAATGGTGGTTATCAGAGGAGAGGTGGGGAGGGACGACGGTGAAAGGGATGATTGTGGTGATGGACTGTAATTACTATTTGGATGGTGAACATGATGTAATCAATGCAGAAACAGAAGTATAATGATGTACACCTGAAACGTATACAACATTATAAACCAGTTACTGCAATAAAAAAATAAGGAAAAAAAAAATCAAACTACTGCCAAAGGTGGCAGAAAGTAGGTGTAGCAGCTCAATTTCTTAAGTAGTCATTTTATGCAAGGCTTTGAAGACTAAATCTTCCAATCAGTCTGTATTCAATGTAGTATCATTTCAAAATCACTTATATGTTGAATATATTTATTAAATTATCAAAAGGTTTTTTCAAAGTTGGAATTCTTATGTCACGAAGGACAAAGCATTAACCTCAACAGTTCTCAAGAGGATGGCTCTGCCTTTTACAATCCAATAGCTGTTGAGAACGACGCAGAAAAGTGAATTTGATAATCCAGCATAGATGTTTCTCATCAAGCCCCTCTAGACTTGACTATACACGCCACTTACTAGGGTCGTCCAAAACCATTGTTGATCCCTAAAATTAACTCAGTTAAGACGCAGACATTTAACTCCGTATCAGGAACCACCTGTCCCTCAGACTAGCAGCTACTGCTCATTTCAACCATTCTAGCCTAAAACTAAGGAGCATCATGACACATTCGCAGCTCCGCCCGAGTCCGGGTCCTGGGGAACTTATACCAAAGCAGGGCGCTGTGCTTCAGCCTTTGCGCGGTGTTGCTGCAGCCGTGGCGCGACCCGAGCCAGCGGGCCTGCGCCAGCTCCCGGCGGCCGGTCCCCACGGCTACCGCCCCGGCAACGCGCCGCACCCGGGGACGCCCGCCCCTCAGGGACCGTCCGGGGCGGCGCCGGGACAGTGGCCGCGCGGAGCGGAAGGGAAGGGCTCCAGGCCGGGCTGGGAAGCAGGCGGGCAGCGAGGCCGACCTGCCGACCGCTCATCCCGCTTCTTCGCGCCGCCTGGGGCGGAGAGACCCCCGGCCGCGTCGCTTCCCTCTTCATCCTACTTTCCCTTGAACACGGCGCCTGGCGGACTTCGCCTCCTCCGTGCCCACTCAGGAAACTCAAGATGCCCCCGCGGACACGACACGCCACAGACGAAGCGCCCACCCGCTCCGCCACCACTCACGCCCGTCCCACGTCCTCTCCGCAGGCCCGCCCCGACCGAGCGGCGCGCGCCC